TTTTTTTTTTTGGTGCAAAAGTGGAATGAGTAAGAAGCCACCTTCCCAGAAAGAGAAACCCAAAACTGTAGTGATACCTCCTTCGCAGGAGTTAAATGTTGATGTGGATTTGAGGAGACTTCATGAAGCTTGTGGTGCTCTCGGGGATTACATTTTGCCTTTTTCGAAACGCATCAAATTAGAGCTTCAACGTGTGAGAGATGGTGAACAGCCCGATGTACCCACAGTTCCTCTTTTTTTATACAGTGAAATCCCATATAATGAGGTTAAACTTCTTTTCTCGGGGATTCTGTCAAGTTATCCATTTCTTCGAGAAATACAACTTCACCATTGCGCAGTTGGAGATGATGGTATGCTCATTATTGTGGAATTTATAAGATCATACAGACCGACACCGGACAGAAATCCTTTTGGTATACAACGTCTCGAAGTTCCTGGTTGTTTGATAGGACCTGCTGGAGCCAAACACATTGGTAAATTACTAAGCGAAAATGATACTATTACTCGTTGTGTACTGGATTTTAATCCTTTAGGTGATGCTGGCGCTCAAGCAATTGCTAATGGGGTTAGATGGAATGGATCGCTTGAAGAACTTTCTTTACAATACTGTAAAATAGGTTCTTCTGGTGCTGATGCTTTAGCGGAAGGGGTATTACGAGGCTCAAATGTTCGTATATTTTCTCTTCGAGGTAATCCACTTGGTCCTGAAGGAATAAAATATATTGGTTTGGCTCTTGGTATAGGTAACCGTATCGAATCCATTGATATTGCAGACACAAGATTTGCTGTATCTTCTCAGGCTGTAGAGGCACTTTGTCAAGGAGCTGGAAGCAGTAGCTCACTGACATGCGTAGACATGGATCTTAATGTAGTCACCCCGGAAGCTGCTTCATTGATTGCTGCCGTTATACAAAAAAACAAACGACTTGTTCAATTTCGTGTAAATGAGCGAATGGATTCAAATCAGTTTCTCATGATTCAAAATGCACTAGAGCAGAATGGAAGATGTACTAAAAAAAAGAAGCGTACCAAATCATAACTGTATGGATATCTTTTTTTTTTTCTTTTCTCTTTTTTTTTAATTATTGGATGCTCTTGTTGTATCAATTATATATATATATATATATATACCTTTCGATGTATGTACAGATTAGTCCATTCCTTGCTCTCACGTAATACCTATTTTTACTGAATATTTTACTGAATGAAACCTTCTTAGATTTGCTTATATGTATATATATCTGTATTTTCATGTTTTAACTTGTATCTTTATCCTCTATATATTCTCTTTGGTTTAAAGTAAAAGGGGGAAAAAGAAATAGGGGAGGTGTAATGGTGCTTATTCTCTCACTTCAGCAGAGTGAGGGAAATCGCAAGACTGATAACAAGACCGAAAGATATCAAGTAGGTGTTTTTAAAGGGCGCCTTGCAGTTTTCTACGACAGTCGACAAGGACCACCTGAAGTCGAAGATGTAGATGCGGCTAACCAAGACATATCACTCGATGAGGCCCCCTCGTATCCATTTTTCGTAACCTCCTTTGATGGTTTTATGGATGGCACAAAAGAAGAACTAAGTCCAAAGACTAGTGAGGAACCAGAGGTGTTGGAGATTCTCATGGCGGATATAAGTGCACGTGTTGCCGAACGAGAAAATGTCACTATAGTTAATCGAGGTTTTAACGCCGATAAATTTCTGGAGAGGATTCTTAGATCACTTCAAAAAAGTATTGAAGGATCTGCAGAGAATGCTATGCAAATCGTTGCTGATGAGATAGCCAAAGAAAAGCAAATGCAACGCCTTTTACAACTAGAGAATGAAGCGAACTTGCATGTGCCAAGGGAGTATAATGTTGTAACTGAAGAGGAACAAAAAGTAAGAGAGGCTACCGGACTTTCTTCAAAATTAACACGAAGTTTACGAGAGTTGAAGAAGAAAAAATTTTTCTTACTTGCTTCAGGAAAACGAGCCGCAGAAAGATTTACCTTGTTGACAGCTGCACACCACGGGGAATTGGTGCCACCATGTACAAGGGGATCTTGTCTCACACCAGAAGCTTTTATAACAATGCCACCTCAACGGGCTCCTCAAAATATAGTACTACCTCGTGGAAAACTTTCAAGTGCAAGAAATTCTTACTTTAGTTCTCGCTTTCAACGAAGATCAACACTTAGCGTGTTAAGTGGGCTTGAAGTCATTGAAGATGTTGTTGTTGAACCTATCAAAGGAAATGGATGGGGAAAAGAAATCAATTATTATGTTTTTAATGGAGAAAATTCTGTAATGGCACTTCCAGGAATACCAAAATTTGAAGATGTTGTAAAAGGGTTTACAGTAGATTTTTGGTTTAAAAGAAATGAAGCTGAAAAAGCTGAAAAACGTGTTTTCCTTCATATTATGGATGGCCAACGTGCGGATATTGGTCAGTTATTTCAGATAAGCTTGAGACAATATGAAGAGATGGGTGAAGCAATTTGTATATATGTTCGTGATGGTACTAACCGTGTATTGGAATGTTTAATGCCGCTAAGGACCCATATGAATGAAGCAGGAGGAGAAGAAACTTTTCATCATTTTATGCTTCGTGTTTTGAGTCTTGAAGAAGGTAACTTGGAATGTTATTTTGATGGTCAATCTGTGGCGTTACAAATTGTACAACAAGAATACCCTATTCTTTTTAATCCGTGGCCTCACCGATTATTTATTGGTGGATATTTAGATGAATCTAATACTCCGACCTGTGTATTCTGTGGAGCCATTATTGAAGTACGTTTTTCAGTAACTACGGAAAAGGGATTTACACCAGTCGTTCGATGGCCATTACTTGTAGATGGTGGGAAACTCAAAGAGGTAACACTTACTATTCCACCAGAACATCATGACACGTTATTAAATCTTGAAAAGCAAGTGGATAAACCCCCACGTTGTGCACCTTCTTTAGATGGAAATCTTGTTGTTAACTTGGGTACCTTGGGTGTCCTTGGAGAGTTAATGTATAACTGGAGGTTAGAAATTCGATTCAGAACGGATGTTAACAATCGTACAATGAGTTTAATTGGTGTGACAGATCGACAATGTAGAATGCAAGAGTTTGGTGTTGTATTAAATGCAGAACCTGTATTTGGAAAAGAAAGATTTCGTTTTCATGAATATAATATCACTTTATATCTCGTTGACGCTTTTGGAGCTTGCTGTTCAGCGTTATTACGAGGGAGTGAACATCAAAATTTTATGGATGGTCAATGGCATACATTGGTGTGGAAGTGTATAGACAGTGAAGCGAATACCTACCGAGTAAAGGTGGATGGTGTGGTACAGGAATTACTTTATTTGGTGAGAGAAGGACCGAGAAGATTTTTACCGTTTGTGGATTGGGTGTGTCTTGGTGGACATAATACACGTAATTATAAAGTTCGACGACCTTTCTATGGTGAGATTGCACGTTTTTTTATATCTGTTCGTGGAGTTCCACTTGCGACACTAAACATGGATGAAGGTCCTGGCGCATATGTATTGCAAGATGCCTCCGGTCGACACAATCATGGACTTCTTATCAATCCCCTTACTAATGCGGTACGCCGTCATGATGTTTTGTGGTTTCCACATATTGAAGAATCTCTTCTTGAGGGGACTGATGTTTCTGGAAAAGATGAATTCATTATTCATAAAAATAATGTTGTATCAATGGCAGCTGTTGTTTTTACATGTGATTTCAATTCCGCAGGTGTTACACGCGAAGTGGCTTATGATATTCTCGGAGGAACTACTTTGGAATTAGATGTAGTTGAGAAACATATCTCTGATAATCGACCTGAATGGAAAACGTGGAGAGCCCTACCCGACAGTTGTTTTAAACAAGTAGAATCTCTTGTACAACTTGAAGAGGTAATTAACAGTACACTTTCTACTAAATTACCTGTTGGTCATTTTATGTTTATTATTCGAATAGGTGACTGTTATGTTACTTTATTAAATTTGTACGGTCCTGTACTTCCACCAGATGCAAAATATAATGTTGACATGCTCAAATGGCAATATGGTTATGCCATTTCAGGTACCAAAGGACGACGAGAACTTTTGCTTAATCAAATGATACAAGGAGTTGAAAGTATTCTTGTAAGTGATACATTAACCCCCTTTACTACTGCAAAGTTGGGTCCATTAAATTCAAGTGGAAAAAGTATTGTAACAGAAGATATTATAAGATCTTTGCAAAACAGTGGAAAACCGTGGTACCTCTCTGCTGTATTACATCATCATCTCCTTAATGCTGAGTTTGGTTCTAGTCTTCATATCATTCATCATTTTCCCGAACGTCTCTCAGCTGATGAGGCAGCGTCTATTGCATTATTTAACAAACGTCTTTATAATGGATCTAAAGAAAAAGCATCCATAATGATACAACGAAATTGGAGAGCACGACAAGCACGTCTGCAAGCTATGCAATTAAACGCTGAAAAAGAAATTCGAGAACGAAAAGTGGAAGAAATAACAGCTTTGCGTCTAAACCCTCTGGTACAAGCGAAGAAAAAACTCTTTGCCCTTCTTATTACACTTCATCAGATTGTTTCTGAAGCGATTCCTCCTATAAGTGATGACGCACATGAGTTAGCCGCAGTTTTGGTAAAACAAGGATATGAAGTTACACATTTACCTAATCCTGATAGAGCTACGTTAATGAAAGCTCTTTCAGATATTGATGAGGATGCATCAAGTTTTGTGTATATCAGTGGATATGGTGGAACTATGGGTGTACATCAACCCCCTCTTATTTCTTTACATAGCCTTCATATAATGATTTCAGAAGGTGCACATCGTGTTGCTATTGAACAAGAATGGGGTACAACCTATCGAAGAATTCGGAAAGAGTTCTTGGAAGAATATCCACAACCAAAGGTGAAAAAAGGAAAACGTAAGAATAATGCTCCGCCAAGCAAGAAGGCGCTTCAAGAAGCAGAAATGGCTGCACGTCATCGCGAAGAAATATTCCGTATGTCAGTTGCAGAAATTGAAAAAGATGAAGAGAATTTGCGTAGAGCATTTTCAGAAGAATATGATACTGAAGTATTAATGATCATACGAGAAATGAAATTGGCTATTGAAGCTACAATGGAATATGAACGTGTATACAAGAAAGATCCTTTAGGGGTTCAATTTGTTCTTCCATGTGAGGCTAAACTTATCGAACCATATGCAAACACTGTTTATACTGTGGAAGAATTATTACACATAGCTCTACATCGTCATATGACTCCAGTAGGGTTACAACGAGTTGTCGCTTTGGATTTGGAGCCCATTACACCAATGTCATGTGGTTTTGCATGTGTGGCTAGTAGCACAGGGTACACACTACGATTTCCATACCAACCACAGCAACGTCGTGTTATAACAGATTACGTCCGAAAGGCATTTGAAGGTCGTTTACCTCGCATTCCAGCCAATACTCGGTATGCCATATTAAAAGGAGGAATTGAAACTGAATCTAATGAACGAGACTGGAGGTCATTTGCAACATATTTGGTGTCAAGGATGCAATCTATATGTAGTAAAGAGGCATATGCAGCGTTACGTGAAGAGCTTGATCGTGAGGTTCCATTTACGGCAGAACTTATTCCTGTACGTAATATATCTTTGGATTCTGATGTAAAAGATAAGCTACGCCGCGAAAGGGAAGCAAAGGAAATAAATATTATTATGCGATACGCCGTGGGGAGTTCACAAGTACAATCCGATATGTTTAGTGTATTTAGGAATGTAGTTACGTTTGGTGGACCTCTGAAGGAAATTCTATTTAAAAATACTATTTACGTTGTGTTTACACGTAATAATAAAGACATTGATGGTCTTGTCAAGGAGGCAATAGTCAAGGAAGTTGAGAAGTGTCGTCCATCAGGGTGTAAACTTACTCTAAATTTCAATGTTACTGCTGGGGGTGTACGTATTGTTTTTAACAGCACAGACTCTAGCGATAAGATGTACATAACACAATGGATAAATGGCATTGTAGTGCGGAGCCTTACGTGGCAACTTCCAGTTAACCCGTTCTTTGGTTACCGTACACTGGATGTGGGTTTGGTTGAGTATCTCTATGAAGTGAAGAGTACTTGTTCGCTGCGCAAATTCCGTCAATTACAGAAACAACAACATGAGCAACCTGTACCAGCCCCTTATATCCGTTTCATCGGTTGTGAAGATCTCTCCTCGTCGTAGACGGAGAATATAGTACAAATGTAAAGAATTTTCTTAGACCGTGACATGTAGAGTGTGAGTTGCCGTATCCAGCTCTCAAGGCTGTGAAGGAGAGAGTGTCACTCTTTGGCCTCTTTCTTGTTTTTTTTTTTTTTTTTTTTTTTT